TTTATTTAACAAATTTGGTTATTTATTTTTTTAATTTGGTAACTTTTTCGAATCGATAGTACATGTAACATAGGTCAAAACAAGTCCTGATTCCCCATTAGGGAAGTGGGCCGTAAGCGTTTCCTTTTATAGAAAAACAAGGTAATCCTGACAGTTTCGCAAGGCGAAAAGTTCTTTGGCGTTACTAGAATTGTGTGATCTCTAACAAACTGCTTGAAAGTGGTTATTACTATATCTATCGTGTCCTTTTCCAGAAGGTTGGAAATGGTCCCAGTATTACGTCCCAGTATTACGTCCCATGGTGCCAAGTCGGACGATCTCAGTGGCCAAATTACATTCCCTTTAATAAACCTATGTTGCAATTCACCGTATACATGACACTGTGAATGATCAGATGTCTTGTTGTGGCAACACTGCACCAATTGTATGTGCCTCGAACAAGGTGCGTAATCAGAGCGGATAGGAGGCTATACCATACACTTTCACACACACATACATATAGGGTTGCCAGATTTTGAAACGGAGAAAGGAGTACATTTATATTTTCGATAGAATAAAAGCAGTACATGACATAAAAGAGGAGAACAATTTTTGTTTTAATTTTTTGTGCAATTTATTGTTACAAATTACCATTAATTAGGTACAAACAAACAAAGATATCTTAGAAATCTTCTTCAAAGCAACAATAAATGTGAAAAATAAATAACTATATGGGTTGGCTTTCCAGTAGGGACGATTGTTAAAGAGATTGTGATCGAAGGGGGAGTGGACGTGGCACCGTTTCCGACCTTTTTGGAGAGGGCATGAACCGCCATTGACAAAAATGTTACTCCGACCACCTAGGGCCCCTCCGGGACCCCTTAGAAAAATTGCCAAAAGTCACAATTTTCACTTGCGTCCACAGTATTTTTGCGTAGAATTCGGCTCTCAATGACCGCAAAGGAAAGTTTCCCCAACTAAAAAACTAAAAACTACAAAAGAATTCCAGACTCTTCCTGAATGTATGACAATTTTTTTAATTTAAGCCTTATAATTAATTTAATATTTTTCTGATTTTTATACCCGAGCGCCCTGCCCCTAAGGCTATGCTTACACCTTTTCACTATCACACTTAACTTTGCTTACTAAGTAGTGTTTGCCACAATATGAATGGCCAAGTACAGCGCGCAAAATAATAACTGTCGCACAGATTTTTTGAAAAGTAAAAGGGTTCTTTATAGATTTTGTGTTTTTTTTTTGTAAACTTTGTAAATATTTTACTTTAATTTTATTAATTGTTTTTAAAATTTTAATCCTGATTTGCATTTGCCAGCTTTGGGAGATAAGTACGTGCGGCACGATCCTCTTTTTCACGTGTATTTTTTCTGTTTTTGTATAAAAAAAAAAAAAAAAAAAAACTGTATAGGGTTGGTCGAATGAATGCCCTCCTAGTCACCAGTTTCGAGTCTTTTCGATTGCTGAGTATGAGGCCTTATGTTGGACAAAAGACGGAGTATAAAGGACACAAATGGGGGAAATTATTAGACTATGGTTACAGAAGATATGTAATAAAGTAACCGACGAAGACTTGCGCTTTTCTCCCAAAGTGTTTACCGCCGGTAAACCCAAATGAAGGTTAAAATTTAAAAACAAATTAATAAAATTTAAGTAAAATCTGTGGATAATTAACAATAAACTACTTTTTCGAAAAATCTATAAAGGCCGCTTTTATTTAAAAAAAAACTGTGCAACAGATATTATTTTACACCCTGTATATGATAAAATATTACTAGCTGGAAAAAGGAGTACAAAAGAAGCACAAAGCTGATAAAGGAGTACATTTGCAGAAATTTTTTTTTTTGAGTACAAGGGAGTACATTGCAATAAAAAGGAGTACGTTTACTTCCAAAAGCAGTACGGCTGGCAACCCTACATACATAGCACATGCACTTGAATTCACCTTAACGCCTGCACTATTTAAAGGTACGCTACTGCCTCAAGAGTGTACCTCAAGAGTGGTCCCGTACTGGTTTAGATTTGTTCATGGGATCATGAAGAAATTAACGGTAATCTTAAATTTTGATATGAGAATTGAAGCCGGTTTTGTTTTTTACTTAAAAATGACTTGTCTTATGTTTACTTAAATATATTTTTGTGTTCAAATAAAACTGAAATTAAAGTTTTCCTCCATATGATTTGAGTTATATTTTGCTAGTAATTTGTCGGATGTTTATGAATTGAGCAAAACCATGTTGTCAACTGTAACATACGACAAAGTGCGAGTAAATAAAAGTAGCAATAAATGTTGCAGATTTTGTATAACTTTTTTTAATAATAAATTCCAATATGATATATTTATTGAAAATAGACAACTACATATATGATAACATAATAGCGTATATCATGTAAAAGAAAGAGAAAACTAAATAAATAAATAATTTAAAAAAATGATGGAAAGTTTTTGAATTTCTCACACAAACTGTTTTTAGTACTAGGCGTAGTGTATTTAACAGATACTAGGGCTGTGCGATTAATTGATTACTCAAAATTTTAATTAATCATAAAGTAAATAACTCAATTATTCGATCAATTGGAAATTATGATTACTCAAAAGTTCAGTTACTCGAGTAATCAAGATTTTTGATTAACCAAAAACAAAAATATTTGAGTAAAATGCTTTATGATTAATCAACATTTCGAGTAAAATGAGTAATCAACATTTCAACTCTTTACATATGTATAAAGTAGCTAAAGTTCCTTGATACTTTGAAAACAACGTTTCTGTTTTCAAAAATTAAAACAAAAATATANATTCACACGGCTATTCGTAATTGCTGCTTCTCTGTTTTAGACGTTCTCTGGCACTTTTTTACTCAAACTAGCGGTGGGGTAAAGTAAATTGCACTATTTTTTTACAAAATGAATCACAAAACTTAAAAGAATCANTATTAACGAGCAAAATTATTTTTTTTGAGTAATCATATTCCAAGTAACTCGATTAATCATCGTTTTGAGTAATCGAAATCTTGATTACTCGAGTAATTGATTAACCGAATAATTGGTTAACCAACTTGCTCGAGTAATCGAATAATCCCACAGCCCTAACAGATACGGTTCTTACTGGGAAGCAAAGAGCAGAGAACGTCTAAAACAGAGAAGCAGCAATTACGAATAGCCGTGTGAATTGTCAAACACTACCAAAATCGCTCTGGAAGCTCACCACTCGAATCGAAAATTGAGAGCGGAAAATTAACAGATCTGAGCGGCAAGTTAACAGAGCTGAGCGNACTGATTTTTGACGGCGCAAGTAAACGTACCAGCGCGCCGGATGTTAGCCAGATAGAGGAAGCGGATATATTGGGCGTATTTTGTGGCGAAGAAATGAGTTCGCTGAATAAAATGGTTACTACTAAACCTATATGTATATAAAAAGTTTAACACTTCAATCAGATTGCTGAGATTTTTCCACTTTTTTACCACTTTTAGTGAACGCGCTAATGATTAATAAAATATTTAAGGTTGCTGACAAATATGTATGCCAGCAATTTTAACTTTATCAATTTTCTTAAATATTTAATAGCAGAATTTTAACTATTAATTAAAAACGATTTTCACATAAATTTTATAACATCCATTCATTAGCATAACGGCGTCAAATAGTAAACTTTAAGCTTCGCAATTTGCATTTGTTAAGTAAATTCAACTCGTAAAAATGTAATTGCTACTGAAAGCGTGCTTTTCATGCTTACTTGTCGATTTTTCACAACTTGCCTCACTATAAAAGGCAGCTACAATTGCTCCTACTGCAACAATAGCTTGTTAATAGGCAAAAGTGCAATACAAAACCTAGTAAGAAGACACCAATCTATTAAATAACGTGCCAATAAAGTAAAAGAAAAAAGGCTTAAAATGTGCAATAACAATGTAAGTGAATATAAAAACATAAAATATGTATCAAAAGAATATATATATTTGGCGCTTTATTTTGGCTGTACATTTAACAAACTTGCTCTAACTCCCTCTCGCTTTCTCATTTCTCATATTCACTACAGTGTCAAAACATTCGTTACATAATTTTATGCGCACTGCTTGGCCTCGCCTACTCACTTCCCATCTCCGGTGAGAATGAAAACAACAATCTTGGGCCTACCGTAACCTCTACTACAGCAAAGCCGAATTCACTTGAAGTGAATCTACGACATAGGCGCCAATATGTACCAGTACAAGATTTAAATTCATTTTTGATTTTGGAACCTATCGTCGTCCAGCAACAGCCAATTCCATTTCTCACCGTAGCAAATGTACACAATCAACGTTCGCGGCGCACCTTGACTCAGGCGGAACTCGATGAACCCGTCGATGTGGACTTTGATATGGAGGTCGCAGAAGTTAACGTATTTCGTCCCCTCTTCCGTTATCGCGCTGAAGTGGCACGTAATCTGGGACGAAGACAACAGCTTGGTTAACACTATTTTAAAGTGCAACCATTTTAAAACTAAGAATTATAAATGTATACATAGTTTAAGTGATTTTGATACCTCATTAATCGATAGTGTAATAAATAAGTGGCTGAAAACTTAAAAATATATGCTTTTGTTTTCGTTAAAGTAACGTTAGTCAATTTCTTCTTCTTCTGCCATCTTCCATATTCTTCGGTACTCGTCGGTAAGAAGATGGAATGACGAGCTGTACGAGCTTTTTAACGACATTGGCATAGTCAAGCGCAAACAAAACTACATCGATTGCATTGGCTTGGAGATGTTGTACGCTTGGATGACGACGCTCCAGTGAAAAGATCCTTCGACTCCGCACCCATGGGTGAACAGTGAATGAAAGGGCCAAGTGCAGAGGAACCTGTCGGCACTTGGGATGAAC